TCTATAATCATCAAGAATAGAAGGGTCAAGATTGCTCTTTTTAAGAAGTGGCCTAATAACAGTATTAAGACTCTAAGAACATTCCTAGAGAATAGGTTGAATACTGGTTTAAAATATTTGGTTGGTAGAGGATCAAGAGGGCAGCTAGTAGTGTTCAGATGTCAAATCACTTTAGTAAGTGTTTCATGACTGATCAGTACAAAAGCTGACGTGTTACTTCCTGCCTCATTGTGGACCAAGTTGTCCATGGCTGGGCGACAGCCATTAGTAATTTCCTAATACAACATATTTTACTGTCCAAAGAAGTCAGCAGACTCTTGACATTTGTCATCAGAGAGTTCTAATGTGGCTAAAGAAGAATGGTTAACCAGGCCTTTTAACTGTGGAGAAAAGAAATTTAGGATTGACTTTATGATTGTTAATTAGGCTAGAAAAATAAGCTGACCTTGCCATCGTAATTTGGTTATTTAACAGTTTTAGGAGATTTTTATAGATGTCATAATGGACAGTAAGCTTAGTCTGTCTCCATTTCCTTTCTGCTTTCCTGCATTCTCTCTTTAACCTAACTATAGTGGTTAAGTTCCTCCATGGGCTTTAGAAATACAAGGCACAGACAGTTGATGTTAAAGCATTCATTCATTCTGGCTGTGAAATGTATAACTAGGCTATCACAGGTAGGCTAATGTTTTTTTTACTGCTAAAAGCTAAAACTACTTGCAATAAAATCAATTCAAACATAATTAGAATCTCAATATGCCAAATTACTCTGTACTTGTTTGGATTCCAACTTAGGGATTCGCCAAACATTGAATTTATTGCTGCAAGAAGAGGTTGTTTTAAGCACAATGCCAGATAAATCTGCTAATGTAGAATTTGTTCAAGCAAGTCCTTTTTCTCCTCTGTTCTCCTACAACAGCAGTTAGAAGGTTCGGAGGTTTTCTGTGCTGCTTCATTAAAAACAGATCAAAACATGCCCTTCAGATATATTGGTTAATCAGCGTGTCTCTGTGTGTGTGTTTGATTTGTTGCATGTGTGATCAACATGTTTGGAAACATTGTAGAAGAGAGAATTTAATCCATACTGGCTTCTCCCTGCAATATGTGGTGGTTCAGGTGCTATTTTTTGCAGAATTGTGTCATCTATGAATCCATAACATCATATTTAAATGACATAATAGCACAGACCACATCAAACTCACCAGCAAAGCTCATTTATGAGTCAGCCGACGTATTGCCACCAGACTATGTGCTCTTAACGTCACAGTAAATGTGGTGCTGCATTTCATGAATCTGGTCCATTGACGTTGACTGAGGAACATTTCTCCACTATTTAACCTTCACAACCCTCAAGTAGTGTAATTTAACACTAACAGAAGCAAAGTTTCTCATTGATTTCCCATTCAAGTTAACTGGCTTTTTCATCAGGCGGATTTTAATCACATCCCACTGTTTAACTCTGAAAAATATGATAAGGGAAATAACAATATGAGGACACTCAGTGAAATCTGAATGTAAAACATTCAGTTTCTCCATTTATAAAAAACACAATTAAAATCCAAAAAAGGACAATTAGTTTAGCTAGCAATCCTGATACTGGAAATGCAGTTGGTTGTGTTGGCTTTTTATATTATTTTACTTTTTATCTGATTTTATCTTTTGTTCTCTAAAGATGTAAGCTACAGCTATGGCCTGCCTACTGATAGCATAGCTAAAACAGCCTAGATTATATAGTTATGATATGCAGTAATATAATTTCAGTTCATTTGTCAATGAAATGCAACATACGGAAGCTTGGGGGTGGTCTAGGTTTGCCACCTGACAGTGTCCCTACAGTTAAAAACAAGTCAGACCTGTGAACTATTGCCTTGAGCAGCCAGGTAAGTGGTGATCTGAACAGTTGTATCATACTGCTTCTGGCCACCATTTGGAACTGTCCCCAGCCCAAAACCAAAAGTCAGGTATGTGCTTTTTTGATGTTGTTGAGATAGTCCAGTCAGTCCCTAGCTCCCCAGTCTCACTAGCCTCTTCCCTACAAGATCTGACCAAAGAGGGACAGCACATAAGGCAGCAAATGGGCTTGATTTATTTATTTATTTTTTTAATCATTTGATTGTAATTTCAATTTACTTCAAAAAAGGACAGATTTTGTCTCATATTTTTTTAGTGTGGGATTGAGCTAATTAACAACAAGGACTCTCTTTTTACCCATCTTACAAAATGTGGAAATAAACACATTTCAAACTATTAACTGACTTGGACTTAGACTAAAATCCTTTTGCTTTGAGTGACCCTATACCTTAATTATGTTTATTATATTAAAATAAATGAACATTCCATTTTGTCACTGTCAAAACTACACTCTAGGGGCAAAAGTATTGGGACACCTACAGGAGCTTTTATAATATCACATTCTAAATCCATAGGCATTGATATGGAGTTGGTCCCCATTTGAAGCTATAACAGCTTCCACTCCTCTGGGAAGCTTTCTACAAGATGTTGGAGTGTCTGTGAGAATTTTTGCCCATTCATCCAGAAGAGTATTTGTGAGGTCAGACACTGATGTTGGACCTGGCTCACAATCTTCGTTCTAGTTTATCCCAAAGGTGTTTGATGGGGTTGAGGTCAGGGCTCTGTGAGGGCCAGTCAAGTTGTTTCACACCAAACTCACCCAGCCATTCCTTTATGGGCCTTGCTTTGTGCACTGTGGCTCAGTCAGGCTGGAACAGAAAAGGGTCTTCCCCAAACATAGAAGCATAGAATTGTCTAAAATGTCTTGGTCTGCTGAAGCATTAAGATTTCCCTTCACTGGAACTAAGGGGCCGAGCCAACCCCCGTATTATCTCTCCTCCACCACACTTTACAGTTGGCACAATGCAGTTTAGCAGGTAACGTTCTCCTGGCATTCGCCAAACCCAGACTCATCCATCAGACTGCCAGATAGAGAAGTGTGATTTGTCACTAGTGAAGGCGTGCTGTTTCAGTAGGTAGAATTTTAAGTGTGATTGGTCACTCCACAGAATTCAGTTCTGGTGTGCTGTTTCAGTAGTGAAAATTTTAGTAGAACTCACAAACATTAGCCAGTACATGTCTTGAACAGGTGTACACACATAAAATCATAATATTTTTCACTAGCACACACAAATTGAAGAACATATGTGTTTCAGGAGTGACAATTCTTAATGCTACACACTGATTTTCACACTTTGGGACACATTTACTTTAAAACAATGGGACGTAACTGCTTACCCTGTGGTGATGAGGAACAGGGATGCAGTCTCACTTCCTGCTGTAATACACAGGGGTGTGGCTAAAATAAGGCTCTGTGTTTCGGTAGTGACATGAAAATGTGAGACAGTATTTTTGAAGAAAGTTTTTTTACTATATTAAATATTTAACCGATAAATCTAACCCTTTCAACTCCATTATACAAGAAATCAAATAAACCTTTTTAAAAGCAATATTGCAAAAAAACGTATCTTCACAAGTGTAAATGTAGGGGTTAGGGTTTGGGACAGGCACCCCCCAATAGAAAGTATCTTGTAAATGATGATTTTGTATATATTTAGCTTATTACTATCTCTATTAATGCCTTACAATAGGTTTAAATAGACTGTAACAGAATCCTTGGAACTATCTAAGATATGAATACTTCATTGCTTTTTAAAATATTTTTTTACTGTGGTAGCAGAATTTGAACTAATTTGGTAGAATGGTCCATGTACAGTACATACACATTATATATATATATATATATATATATATATTCTGGTTTTGTCGCTGTGCTTTGCAAAGTAATTCTAAGCACAGTTTAGCTCTTGTTCCCTTGTGGTTTTTAGCCTGTCTTGTCTTGCTTTAAGATTATGGATTTGCCTTCAGTGTATTTGAAAAATCTGAAAAACAGTCAGCTTTGGATATTGCAGTGTGGTAAACCTCACCATCAGCTAAACACACATACTTTAAATAAAGACAGGTGGATCTGCTCAAAGGGGATTCAGTTCATTTGCTGTTTGGCTGGAGTTAATTTGACTGAATAAACCATATGCAGTAAAATCATCCTATGAAAAGTCTGTTGCAGCTTTAGAACAAAAGCATAATTTTAGCTGACATGCTAAAAGCTGGTCTTCGCTGAGTCATCCAAATCATTGCTCACTTCAAATGGGTATTGACGTGATGGATTAATTGCTGTTACCACATTAGCTCAAGCCTGAAGACCAGCAGGCACAAATAATAGGCCTTTTCATTCCTTTCTATTTTGCCATGAATCATTTATTGGTGTTATTTGATATCATTTATGTGGCCCTCTAATGCATACTAAAGGCATGACTGTCAGTATCTGCTACTTTCTCTCATCCACAAAACTGGTCTTTTATGCCTTCTGGTAGTCTATGTAAGTTTGGGGGGATTTGGAAACTGCACAGTGCACAGACACCATATTTTATCATGTTTTATTTCTCCTGATTCATTAATGCTATTTCTTTAAATTTTAACCAACTAATCTTACATAGTGCAGTTTTAACTTGTTTCATCTTGATTTGATTATAATGTTATGGATATTGAAGGTTAACTGAAGGTACATACACACACGCACACATTTTCTAAGATGCTTATCCTTCTGGGTCGTTGGGGGGGTGGGGGTGCTGGAGCCTATCCCAGCAGTCATTGGGCAGAAGGCAGTAAACACCCTGGACAGGTTGCTAGTCCATCACATGGCAGATAACTGAAGGTATCTTGATGCATGACAATCTAACCATGCAATATGATGTATGTTGTAAGATTCCTTCTTATGTTCTGCTTGAATATTGCTGTAGTATTGCAGTATGTGAATCTTAAATATGCCATATTTTAACTTCAAGCACCTGCCCCTCTAAAAGCACAGTCTTCCCTAAATTGTATTTAGTTCAAACAGAACAAGCAGTCTAGACCAGATGTAATACACTTATGCGAAAATGTGCAATTGTCTATGAGAGGAAGTCTTCACACACCATTTTACAGTGCTTGATCTAAGAGCTCTCCATCACAGGATTGCTACGTTGCTGCCCTCTTAGAGAGAATGTGTAGAGAAAAGGGTTCACACAGCTGTTCAGAAATGCCAAAGCTCGAGCCATTACGCCTGAAAGGTCTGCAGTTTTGGACATATGTTGATTATTGAGTAACACTGCAATGATAAATAAGACGTTGGCGATGGGAATCAGAATAAAGAAGGTGAGGAACGCCACGACGATTCTCGTCACCAGTTTCGTCGTTCTGTTGCTGCTAAAGAAAGGTGACTCATTAACACCTTTGTAAAGAGAGAAGTAGAACAAAACCAGCAAGAAGAAAGTGGCCACAAAAAGCAGTACTTCAAAGGCTAAAGTAGCTACTTGCTCTGTCTTATTCTTAAAGTGTTGGTAGCAGTACTGGAATCCATACTGATCACATCCTACGTCACGCTGAACAGGAGCATATGAAGCCAACACTCCACTCAGGATCCATATTCCACACAAAAGGCCGTTCTCTCCTCTGGTTCCAAGTTTAGCCCATTTCTGAGGATGGAGCACCTGCATGTATCTCTGAACACTCATCAAAGTCACACACAGTGCACTACAGTAGACACACCAGTATTCAATGTAGGAGATGATCTTGCATGAAACAGAGCCGAAGATCCAGTCATGCAGAAGAGCCCAGATCCACATCGGCAGGGGAAGGAGATTCAGCAGATCCGATATTGCCAGGCTCAGCATCAGTCTAATAGTGAAGTTGTTCTCCTTCAAGCGTTGGACGAGAGTCCTCAGCACTGACAGATTACCAGGAACCCCCAGCACAAAGGACAATCCCATAACAGCGCTGCTGGCTATACATACAGGAAAGGCATCAGTGAGCTGGGAACTAATGGAACAGTTGACCTGCTGCATGGTTGAGGATTAGAAGCTGTGTGCCGTCACAGTAGCAGGATGAAAACAAACAGAGCCAGAGTTCGTGTACTTATGTGCTTAGTCAGAGCATTCAGTGCTATAATTCCATACAGGTTTGCATATACAAAACAATGGTGGTTCAACATAGTTTTTGCATACGCAAATCTGTATTCTCAAAATGTATATGGTAATTATAAGTAAACATTATAGTGTTTACAAGTAGACATCTTTAGAGCACGTTTATCAATGATTTAATTTCTTACTTTTGCCAGAGTGGCCCTTTAAGAGTGGCCAAATTTCTAGACTGTAAACCACAAACATACTGTTCTTTAACTGTAACTCTTGCCTGGTTTGTTTCCTCCATAGAAATTTGCATATGCAAAAGTGATGTTGACAACCTGGCAAAACAGGGGAAGTACAATGTCCACTACAGATGGCACAATCAAAGAGAAAAGAGGTGAGATCTAGAGAAAAAAATTCAAAATGTTGTTTTTTTTTCTTCCCACAACACAAAACTGAGCACAACTTTATCAAATTAAGATAATATCTGCTTTTCTATGTGTGGCACAAATGTGGTGTCATTTGAAAGTTTAATACATGCATTTTCATACAGAATTTCTCTCTGACTGAGATTTTGCTTTGAATTCTCTTTTCTAAAATACATCTAAAAGGCTTTAATCCAGCTGTGTCATATGCACAAGCTGTACTTGGAGGAATCCTAAACTCTTCCTTACTCAAATGATGAAGGTTCCATCTTCTCTCCTATAGGAGATACTTCTCCGCTTTCCCATTGCATGCAAGCCTCCTGAGATGGATGTTCTATGCTAGTTGGCATTGGGAGTGTGACATATGCCACTGAACTTGCTAGCATGGGTTATGGATGGACATGGTTATCCAAATATACAGATGTCCAAGCTCACCTGAGTATTCGTTTACTTAATGGAGTATTTGTATAAATTTGTGCATTATTAGATTAAATTTGTGAGCATGCGAACAGCAGAGATAGTTTCCAATCTCTTCCAGTTACTTGCTTGTATATGAAGAAAAAGTCCAAAGCCTTCCAAGCACATTCTACATTGCTGTTTTCCATCTCCAGTCCTGGAAGCGATCCCTTCTCCACATTTCCGAACTCTAACACATTTTAGTCATTCCATGACAAGAAATTGTTTAAATTGAAATCGTTTTTATTATTACATTTGTTGCAGTATTCACATAAACACCACCTAACTTACTGCTGAAAAAGTGATTTTGGAGGGTTTAAGTTTGATCACAGGGAGTGTGGCAGCCAGTGTTGCATGAAGCATTTTACTCCAATGTGATGAGGTTGTAGTTACAATGAAGTTCAAATTTATATGAAAAACTGAAAATGAGTAATAAAAGGTAAAGAGTGGACACACTAAATACTGAAAAAAATGATATTATATTTATAATCTTTACTGTTAAATATATATTTTCTGCTTTTTCTGGCACTGAAAAGTGAATAACGTATGTAATGGCTGGAAATTAAATAAATGAAGGGTGGTCTCTGACTTTGGCACAGTAAAACATTGCCTTCAATGGATTTAAAGATCTACAGTAACATACTGTACCCAAATTGCACAGAAAGACACTGCTGAGAACAGTACTGTTCTTGTGTACCACAACAAAAAAACGTTTACAGTGCAGAAATAGGAACACTGATAAACTTTGGACATTTAATTACTTTTAGACAAGCATGAAAAGAAAAAAACCCTTTCATGTATTCACTATTACTAGCTGAAAGGGTGATTTTGGCATGTCACACAGATAACTATTACTGCCTTAACTCTTGTGTGGTGTTGATGTGTTCGTCACTCAGTGGTCTGGTGGACCCACCACATTATTGTTTTTAAAATCAATACAGCCATAGCAATTTATATAAAAAAATAGCAGATGTTTAAATTTCTCTTATTCTATGTGTCCTCTGTCATAGAACTGCAACACTGCTTCCCTCTAAGAGGGAATGTGTACAGAAAAGGGTTCACACAGCTGTTCAGAAATATAAGAGCTCTGGCCATTATGCTAAAAATATTGGCAGTTTTGGACAGACTTTGATTATTCCGTAACAGTGCAATGACAACTAAGATGTTGGCGATGAGAACCAGGATATAAAAGACGAAGAATGCCACGATGACTCTCGTCACCAGCTTTGTCATTCTGTTACTGCTAGAGAAAGGCGACCGATTAACCCCTCGGTAGAGACGATAGTAGAAGAAAACCAGCAAGAAGAAGCAGATCGCAAGCACCATTGCCTCCACAAATGAAACGACTACTTCGTCTGTCTTATTCCTAAATTTTTTGTAGCAGATCAGGAATCCATATTTTTCACATCCTACTTCATACTCAACAGGAGCATAAAGTCAACACTCCACTCAGGATCCATATTCCACACAAAAGGCCATTCTTTCCTCTGGTTCCAAGTTGAGCCCATTTCTGAGGATGGAGAACCTGCATGTACCTCTGAACACTCATCAGAGTCACACACAGTGCACTACAGTAGATGCACCAGTATTCAATGTAGGAGATGATCTTGCACCCAGCAGTGCCAAAGATCCAGTCATGCAGAAGAGCCCAGATCCACATCGGCAGGGGGAGGAGAGTCAGCAGATCCGACACCGCCAGGCTCAGCATCAGCGTACTGGTGAAGCTGTTCTCCTTCAAGCGTCGGACAAGAATCCCCAGCACTGATAGGTTCCCAGGGACCCCCAGCACAAAGGACAGTCCCAACACAGCACTGCTTGCTATATATACTGGAAAGGCATCAGTGAGCTGTGAACTACTGGAGCAGTTGAGCTGCTGCATGGTGTAGGGTTTGATGGATTTGGCTGCTACCAGCACAACTAAAGAGAACAATGCAGGATGTGCAGTTATAGCTGACATGGTGATTCAGTAATTCCTGAGTACAGGTTTGCATATGCAAAAATGAGGCTGTATTGAACTCACCTACAGTTATGTTTAACTATTTGTACCATATGTCTAGATGGGCAATGGAGGTTAAGTGAGTTAGCCAATGGCACAACCTCAGGGTAGTCGCATTTAGGAGCCTGGTACTACTAACCCTCCAGTCTACAGCTTATTCAAAAAACAGGACTATCAGTTCTGGGATTTTGGCTGGAGTTTCAAAAATCAGCTTGCTGTGAACTTAAATTGATTTAACTTAAATGAACTTTTTTCATTTGATTTTATTTTTTTATTTTTAAAATGAGCTACATTTTTATTCCTATATTTCTATAGAGCGAACAACAAAAATGCAGATCTTTAAGTAAATGTCTTTACTCTGATACCGTATTCCTCCAAGCACCTCACTGGAAACACCAGTACACTTAAATGACAAGGGACCCTCAGTACACTACTGGTCACTGTGTATTCCATCCAGACACTGGTAGTCAGTGTGCTGTTGCAGCAGCTGAAATACTGCACAGTCATGGTTAGATGCTTATGTGGTCATTGGTAGCACAGATGTACCTGCACAAGTGAGAGTTTAAAATGAAGATATCGTCACAGACATCAATCTGGTGTTTTTATGTGGAACTGTTCACATTTGTTTCATTGTTTGTTTCCTCTGTATGAATTTCCACCAGGAAAGAAAATGAATTACAATGGCCACTTTAAGTTTCTCACTTTTAAGTGAGGTTATGTGAGAAAGTGGAAAAAACGAATGGCACTAATTGAGGGGACAGAGCTGTGGTAATGTGTATCACTGCAGGCTGCACTGATAGAAGCTCAAAAAGCATATCCATACATTTGTTTCAATGTTTTTAATTTACAAAACAAGAATAAATACATTGTCAAACTCAAGTAATAAAAGTCTTCTTCTACTTAAAAATACAATTGTGGTATCAACTTAGTATACACATTTTCAAACAGAATTTCTTTGCTTTTTTCAGTTAGTTATACATTATATAATGACTTATATTGTATGTAAGCTGTACACAAAAGCTTGGGCACCCCTGGCCAAGTGATGTTTTGTTGATTTTTGAAGTAAAAAAGAGATAAATAAACAACATTTGCAGCAAACTATTTTAAAAGAATCTTCAAAATTGATAAACTTTTGATGTTTGATTCTTTTAGTTAACAGCTCAGAATTTAAATATTCCAAGTAGGTCTGATATTTCCGATACGAGATGGATAGAGGAGACAAGGCATACTTTTAGACAAACATGAAAAGAAAACCACCTTTCATGTATTCACTATTACTAGCTAAAAGGATGAATTTAGCATGTCATACAGACAACTATGACTGCCTTAACAAAGCATCCAACTCAGTAAGAAACATCTCTTATTCTGTGTCCTCTGTCACAAAACTGCAACACTGCTGCCCTCTAAGAGGGAATGTGTACAGAAAAGGGTTCACACAGCTGTTCAGAAATACAAGAGCTCTGGAAATCATATTTAAAATGTTTGCAGTTTTGAACAGACTTTGATTATTGTGTAACATTGCAATGACAACTAAGATGTTAGAAATGGGAATCAGGATATTGAGCATGAAGTATGCCACAACGATTCTTGTCATCAGTTTTGTCATTCTGTTGCTGCTAGAGAAAGGTGACCGATTAACCCCTCAGTGAAGACGACAGTAGAAGAAAACCAGCAAGAAAAAGCAGATCACAAACAGCATTGCTTCCACAAATGAAATGATTACTTTGTCTGTATCATTCCTAAATTTTTGTAGCACATCTGGAATCCATATTGCTCGCATCCTACGTCACGCTGAACAGGAGCATATGAAGCCAACACTCCACTCAGGATCCATATTCCACACAAAAGGCCGTTCTCTCCTCTGGTTCCAAGTTTAGCCCATTTCTGAAGATGCAGAACCTGCATGTACCTCTGAACACTCATCAAAGTCACACACAGTGCACTACAGTAGATGCACCAGTATTCAATGTAGGAGATGATCTTGCACACAACAGAGCCAAAGATCCAGTCATGCAGAAGAGCCCAGATCCACATTGGCAGGGGAAGGAGAGTCAGCAGATCCG